GATCAATAATAATCTAGTGGTAAAATAGTGTTAAATTTTACTATTATACAATCTTAGTTATTACTAAAATAATTTTCTTGATATGTGCAAAGTATTTTTTTTTTTGCCAGAAACAGAGTCAATTGTATTAATCACAAAAAAAAAGAATAAAAGAAAATTGTTCCTTTATTATTTAAGAAATAAAGGAACAAATTCTAGGAACTATGAGAGAAACAAGATTTCAGTGAACATTATTGTTTCTAATTCTATCCCTAACCAGTGAAATTGTGGTCACATGAAGTGAAGAAAAGATGAGAAGGAAAATGAAGTGTCAAAATCTTTGTGATAGAAAATGAAATGAAGTCACATGCACGTAGAGGTGCTTGAACAGGCAGTGAAGATATAGACGGAGTCATAATCAAGAGTGAAAGGAAAGGAGAAAAAGGACATTGGAGGCTGATGCTTCTCAAGCTTTCCAATACACATGAGAAACATTCTTCATCTCTCTGGTCACTCTCCTCATGTTTTCCATCATTATTGCATCCCCTTCTTGAATCACGGACAGTATCTTTCCCCACCAATTTTCCCTTCCCTTTTTTCCCCTTTCACCCCCTAATTCAGCGAAAAAGCCTTTGATTCTGTGTCCCTTTTTGTTTTACCAATATTGTCTTCTATTTCGCACTATCCTTTACTGGCTCTGTCTATCACCTTTCTAACTACAACTGACTCATGTAGGTTAAGGAAAGTGATCAGAAGTAGTCAAGAATCTTTTTTTTCTCTCCCAGAAATTACAATACGGCATTTTTTTTTTATTTCATTTCATCATCCAGTAGGAAACCTTAAGGTATTACCATAACCTGACTAGACAAATCCGAACCTCCATCATGAAAAATTATTATTATCAATGATAGTTTTATGGATATTTTTGAAATATTTTTGATATTTTTATTTAACGAAATTGTATATTTCATGACTCAAACTCAATAACTTAAGATACACAAATTCAACTCTCTTAACAAATTAAATCAAACACCCTCAATATATTAAGTGAAATTGTTAATAGCTAAGTGAAAGTTAATCATGTCACTCTAATTCCCTCCCTTCATGAAGGTCACTTTTTCTTTCATTGATGAAACATTGCCAAAGGTGTTAACTAGTACATGAACAAGGCGAATTCCATACATACATGATCATCATTTAGAAGACAAATAAGGTCAAATAGAAGAAAATAAAGTATATGTAAGCCTAAATTCCTAATTAGATCTAACAACATTTGAATAGATCAATAATTGCCTAAAAAATTATAGTTTTATGGAATGTGTATATATATATATATATTTATTGTATACAATCATGTTAATTTGTATTATTTTCTTTAACTTCATTGTAATGTGTTGATAAGTTAAGTTAAAAAATACTTCTTCGGTCTTAAATTATAAAACATTTTAAGGAAGATTCAGCATCTCAAAATATAAGACACTTTGATAAAAATAAAGTTTTATTAGTGATACTTTTTTAATATTACTCTTCCTATATACTCTCTCTCTTTAATATTTTTTTATTAATAAAATATTAAATGAAGGGTATTTTTAAAATTTTATATTTTTATCTTGAAAAAGTAAGATTGTAAAATGTATTTAATAAATTTTATTAGTATGTAAGATTTTATTTAAAAGTTTCTTATAATTTGAGATGGAGAGAGTATTATACATGTTTACATTTAAGGATTTTATTAAAAAAATATAATTTAATTAATATAAGATGGATGATGATATGGCAGGTAACATGATAGAACCCTTTCAACCTTCTTTTTAATTTTTTTCTTAAATTATTTTTCTTTTTTCTTGAGTTGAAGGGCAAGACAATCTGTGGGTTGGGTTCTCACAGATGTGACTCAGCTGTTCTGGACGTAAGCAGCAGGAATCAATATTAAATTGAGGAAAAGGACCATCCAACTCAAATTAATAATCATGGAGCCCCATGATTTGCTATTAATTGACTTTATTAAAAAAAAACCAACATTCATTAATCCTAATGTCTTTTATTTCTTTTGAAACAAGAAATTTTGGCTACAATTACATATGGACTGAAATTAACGCTCACGTGACCGCCATAATCTTTATCACTAGACAACTTTTTTTTTTTTGGATAAAGTCTTAAGGCGTCTTTTTAATTCCAGTATATTTTGGTATCTCTTCACCTCCCTCGCTTTTTCCGCCAGATGACGTGGATTATTTAATGTTACGTTCCGTCAACATCAAAATATCATATATTTTTGGAGGAAAATCACAGTGATATCCCAAAAGAAAAAATTTATAACAATTAAATTCTAGCTAAAAATTTTAAAAAATAAAATATATATTAATTTTAATAATTATAAATAAAAATATGATTATAAATTAAAAATTATATTTAAAACTTAAATATTTTATTTGTAATTAAAATTTTTAAATTTACAACTGTCATAATTAATATTTACAACTAATTTTTTTAAAAAAAATTGTTAGGACCAAACTGTCATGAATTCATTATTTTGAAATTTTAATGCCATTATCTATATTTTCTATTAATTGGTGTTAGTCTAAAATGTAATACACTTTATAAAAATAGTCAATAATATTAATTTTTTCACCAAATTTCTTTATTAATTATATTATGGAGAGAAATCATGTTATTAATAAAATAAAAAATAATTAAAATATAATCAACTCAAGTTGACGTGAGCTGTAAGGGTTTCATCATTTAAACAAGTGGTTGTGACTTTGAATTCCACCCCTTATGTGTTAAGTCGAGAGAGATGCACTTCACTTTGACACAGTTAATTTTTTAATTTTAAAAAGTAATAATAATTCCTTACCATTTTAACAATAGAAACTACTTTCACCTATTTTTAAATTATTGTAAAGTAGTTTAAAGTGTCCCCATTTAAAAACGGAATGATATAATTCAATGTAATTAATTTTATTTTCCAAATCCACCTAATTTAGCTTATCAAATTCAAGTTCAAGCAGGGAAAAGCCTTACCTTGCGGTCGCGGTCAATTTTTAAAAGCATTCAAACTATAAACTGGATAAATTATTATGTGGAAGAAATGTCAAAATCCCGCATATACTTTGTTTTTTGGGTCAAAAAATCCTGCATATACTTATGTCAGAGCAAGATCACAAAAAACAAAGGTATAATTATTTTTATAAATCATAAAAAAATTACAGTTCAATATATCAAGACTCACATTTAAATATTATTATGTGCAATCCAAGCCGTTTCTGTCTGAATATATCAAGACTCACGTGAATCGAAGGTGCTTGCAAGCAAGGAAGTGCAGGACATGTGGGTGATCATGTGGAGCATGTGGCTTAAACATGGTTAGGGGCTTAGTACTGAATTATAATTATAATTGTAATCATACAATTATGGATAAGTACAAAAAAAAAAAAACTACGTGGCGAATATAGTGAGGTCGTGATGGGATCTGGCCATCAAGGCCAATGGATTAAGCATGTAAGTAACTTCATGTGCCTCTCTCTACTTATTCTCGCTTTTATTTATTTGATTTAGACTCTTCCGTCTCCACTCAAACTTGCTGCTTGCAGGTGATGTGAGCCACATGTACCTTTTTTCAAATTTCAAAAATTGGTCTGTTTATTGAATGGGTCAAAACATTAAGCTAATGATTAATAGTTAAAATTATATTTAAATTATGATCAAATCAAATGAATAAAATATTTTGCTGAACCAATGAAGACATCAAGACATTAATTCGAAGATTTATCGGTTCTAACTAGATAATTTAACTTGGATTTCAATATCATGGATTCATTGCTATACTAACACTGTAACATTATATCCTAGGCGAACACAGTCTATCCTGTTGAATCCATATACACGGCTAGTAATGTTTGGACTTCTTCCAAATTTTTAGATTGAATTTCATTTTCTTAATAAACGCAAAAAAATATTTCAATTTTTAGATTGATATTTTAACAATATTTTCAATAAATATTTGGTGACAATTTCCATAACAAATATCAGATATCACTTCATATAACTTGCGTACACATATTCATTACTTCTGAAAATAGATACAAAAACTTATTTTTTAAAAGGTTAAAATATATATTTAATTTTTTAACTTTATATAACATTTCATTTTAATCATTTAATTTTATAAAGTATTTTTTTATTTTTTTTTATTTTAACACTGTTAGTTTTATCTCAAAAAATTTTTATATTAAACTTTTAAATATTGACAAAACATTATCAAATGTTAACATATTAAGTTTATTTTTTAAAAATAACAATAATTGACACAAAAACAATCATTTAAAATTAAAAAATATTAGAAATAAAAAATTAAAAAGATATTTTATAAAATTAAAAAATTAAATTAAAACTTTATATAATGTTGAAAAACTAAAATTATATTTTAATATTTTTTTAACTCATCGGTAAATATATATAATCACAAAAAAATCATAATTTACATGTGTGTTTATATAATTTACTTTTCATAACTTCAATGACATTATTTTTCTTGTGTGCATGAGAACTGATAAGAATTATAAGCTGATCAATCACGTTGTTCATAGTATACGTAACTTAATAAAAATTTTACATTTTATACTAATATTTATATAAATGAGAATATCTTCTACGAATTTCTTACTAATTTGTATGGTGGTTATCTTCAACTAGATTCACTAAATTTTTTTAATGGATTTGCTCAAAGATTTTACACCATCTAGAGTGGCCCTATGTAAAGAATCAACATCAGCTTCCTTTGCCTTTAATATTTTAAATTGATCAATATTTATGATTTGTATTTTTGGCATAATTTTACCCAAATGATTTGTAGAAGCTTGGTACTGGGTAGCCGAAAGAAGGATGAGCATATTCATAGTACTGAAATAAATACGAGCAGAAAAGGCCAAAAAAGAAAAAAGCAATCAAATCATTTTTTTTTTTTTTACCTTCAAAATATCAAATCATTTGTTGAAACTCGAGGCTTCGCTGCTTCGGTATTTAACAACTCTCTTAAGTCCCATCCTCTCCAAACTTTGCCGCGAAAATCTCTCTCACCGGAAAACGGCACCGTCGAGATATCCTGGCCGTTTCTCGTCCTCAACCACCGTTTCTTCGGTTCACGAATGCTGAGTTACTGACTCACCCAACAAGTACAAGTCCACAATGTCATTTCCCTCCAGGCGTCACTCGCTGAGTCCATCTCAACTCGCTTCCTGCTCCCCCGGTTCGACACAGGATCTCAAGCAACGAGTAATCACCTGCCTCAACAAGCTCTCCGACCGCGACACTCTCGCCGTTGCGGTCGCCGAGCTCGAGTCCATTGCTCGAACTCTGAACCAGGACTCATTCTCTCTCTTCCTCAACTGCATTTACAACACCGACTCTGCCTGTAAATCGCCCGTCCGGAAACAATGCGTTCATCTGTTGACAGTTCTCTCCCACTTCCACGGCGACGCTCTCTCTCCTCACCTCTCTAAGATGATCTCCACCGTCCTCAGGCGCCTCCGCGATCCGGACTCCGTTGTCCGATCAGCCTGCGTCGAAGCCGTTACTGCCATGTCGTCGCGAATCACGAAGCCGCCATTCTCGGTGGCGTTTTTGAAACCGTTGATGGATGCTCTAACGCAGGAGCAGGATGTGAACTCGCAGATCGGCGCGGCGTTGTGCCTGGCGGCGGCGATTGAGTCGACGCCGGAGCCGGATGTGGAGGCGTTGCGGAAGGGTACTTTGCCCAGGTTGGGGAAGCTGGCCAAGAACGAGGTGTGCAAGGCAAAGGCGGCGCTATTGGTGCTGATAGGGAGCGTTGTTGGTGTTGGTGGCGCGTCGAGTCGGGGTGTGTTGAATTGGTTGGTGCCTTGTCTTGTTGAGTTTCTGAGCAATGAGGATTGGACGATCAGGAAGGCAGCTGCGGAGGGGTTGGGAAAGGTGGCTTTGTCGGAGAAAGATTTGGCATCGCAGTATAAAGTGCTGTGCTTGGATTCGTTACAAAATCGCAGGTTTGATAAGGTGATTGTAACTTCTTTTTCTCATTAAGGAATACCTTTGACTATAGCATATTACCAAGGAGAATACCAACGCTAACGAAAATTTTTTTGGAAGAAAATGTTGTATAACGAGATTATTAATTTTTTTTTGTAGTTTTATTTTTTTGCAATCGCCTTTTGGTTTTGCCCATATACAAGCCGATGAGATTATTGTCAGTGTCGAAATGAAAGTCCTACAAATAAGTTGATCAGAGTGATACTGTTGTAATAGGTCAAGGTAGTTCGGGAGACTATGAATCGCACCTTGGAAACGTGGAAGGAGGTAACTGATGCATCGGAGGATGTTTCCCCACCAGCTAAATCCGCGTGTTCTACCGTTGGTAAGGCATATTTTAATTTTGCACAAGTTCAGAGGCATATTTATTTTAGATAATAGTACCCTTTGAGCTGATGGAAATCCATGTTCTACATATGGCTAGAGTTAGAAGATACGTTATCTTATGTTATCTCGATATCATTGATTCCAACTTCGCTAACGGAGGTTTAAAAACTTGAAACAAATGAGGAATGTTATTGCGTACTAATTTCAATTCAGAATTGGGAATTAGAGTCTGTTTTATTTATTTTCTCCTTTCTCTTTATGTTTTAACCACAGAAGCTTTGACTACTTCCGGTAAAGAAATCCAATACATTGTTATGTTCGTGGCTTTTATTGTAGGTCCAGGTAATGTTAATGATCAGTGTGACACTGCAAGTTCAGCCGATGCTGGCTTTAAATCTTCTGTGTCAAAGAAAACAGCCCCAGCAAACAGGTCCCCTACAACTACAGTTTCAGTGTTATCCACGATCAAAAGGAAGAGCCCTCTAAAGGGCAATGACAAAAACTTAAGCATGGGCATGCCACGCAAGCTGGACCATGTGAAATGCTCTGGTTCGAAACTCGAAACTCCTGAATCAAAGTCATCCATTTTGAGCATGCAGGGGGAAGATAATATCAAAATGTGTGATTTTGAAGTTTCTAAACCAGCCCAGAATCAAGACCCAGAAAAATCGGGGGCAGAGATAAAGCGGGTTGTCTTTAGCAAGATGTCTGATGAGAAACAGTATAAATTTGGTGGCCTGAAATCTGGGTCTCGTGTGGTTCCAATTTACAATGATGACAGTCCTGACCTAGATGTTAAGGTCAACTACGCAAATGAAGTTTGTGTTAATCCTCAAGATGCTGAGGATTTTTCTATGATTCGTGAACAACTTATTCAAATTGAAAATCAGCAATCCAATCTGTTAGACCTGCTTCAGGTACATTGAGGTTTATACCTTTTTCTTTACTGAAACTAATCTAAAACCTTTTCTGGAATTCTGATAATACATTATAGTATTTGTTTAGTTCTGTCTATTTGGCGTCTTCACTTTTCATATTGTGCTTGTGAAAAAGACTCTTCGTGCACTTAGATTCTGACAGCCTGTCATATTTGAATATTGGATATATTAATGATCGTGCTTTCCTTTTTGTTCTCTGGTTTAGCCTAGACGTGCCTACACCGTCTGACTTGGATATTAATTTCATAATATCTGCAAGCAGTATAATTGCACGATAACTTGGTACAGTAATTACAACATCCTTTTCATTTTCTTTTTTGTCTGAATTTTCTTAGCCTTCTTGACCATAATAACTTACTTTTTATGTAACTGAGGTTGGTCCTTTCTTCTGCTGGATTTCAAAAAAGCCTCTGTTAAATGATTTTGAAGAATTGAGTGGATTGAGAATTGCACATTTTTACTTTCTTTCCTAGTAGGTAAACCCAATAGCCATTGATCCTTTAGACAAAAAAATGCCATTGATGCGTGTGTCTGTCACCATCTGCTTGGTCATGTCAAATAGTAACCTTCTTAATTCCCCCTTTGTGATTGCTGGGATCATATCTGCTGCTCTACCATATGTGTAGGAACTAGAGCTACCTTTTCCCTCAAGTCTAAGCTGTTTTTGGTAGTTGCAATACCTTTTGTCTTTCTCAATGCTTCACTTTATGGAAACATATATGGAAGTATGCAATTCTAACTTCTCTACTTGAATATAGAGATTTATTGGAAGCTCCCAAAGTGGAATGAATTCTCTGGAGACTCGTGTGCATGGCCTAGAGATGGCCGTGGATGAAATATCATATGATTTGGGAGTACCAAGTGGAAGGATTCCCAATACTGATGCGACAGAGGACACATGTTGCAAGCTACCAGGTTCTGATTTTTTGAGTTCCAAATTCTGGAGAAAGACGGAGGGGAGGTACTCTACATCAAGGCTCTCTTTAGGAAGCATATCATCACCCAATACTATGGATAATTCAAGTAACAGAGATAGTATTGAGATGTCCTTTAAGAGCAAAAGATTTCAGCATCGTACGGGTGGATTATTTGTAAACTCTGTGGAAGACGATGAAGGCGATTTCAAAGGGCACTTAGGGCAGTATAGGCATAATATGCCAAAGAATATACCTCAAGATCCTAAGAGAATACAAAGTAACAATGCCAGTGGGCTGGACAGCATTTCTCTAGCTTCTCGTGCAGCGCTTAGGAACCAGCAAATCAGGTAATTACATATGTAATTATAGTGGTTCATGTTTTACTGTCTTGAGTCTCTACTTTCCATTATGTGTGCGTCCTCTTTTTGCCTGATCATATAACAGTGCAACATCGACTGTTGAATTGGATAAAACATATTGTTAATGCAATGTGGCAAATGATTCCCCCAACAATTTGGGAATGGTAATTGTGTATTTGATAAGTTACACTTTCTATCGTTACCCCAGTTAATAAGCCAGCTATGCACGAATTATGTGGGGTGTTTGTACAGGATCTTATTCTGACATTAGAAAGTCCACACAGTATCAGGGTTAGAATTCCAAAAGAGAGAGCCAAAAACCTTCTAATAAAAAATCCCGAGCGTATTTTAAATCTGAAACTCTTGTGAAAGTTAGGAAACTAGTTTCTACTCATTTCAATCATATTTCACCATTACCACCACCTTTTCTTTCATGTGAATTATGTGTTTGCCTAGAGCATTTGGTTGTCTGAGATAGAACTTAATATAATCGTGTTGCATTTGCTTTAACAGATCATCAGTGTAGTCAAGAAAAGAGGAACTCGTTACTCCACGGCCATTTAACTAGATCAAAATCCAACATCAGAAGTCACTTATTCGTGGATGAAAGCGAATATAAGAGCTTGGTGGTCCAGTTTGGGAGAGTTACTTGTTCAAATCAATCCTTGGTAAATTATAATTGAAAACGAAGGCTATTTTCTTTTGCCAATGTTTATATGGAGGCAGAGGCAAGCATATGGATTTAATTTAAAATATGATGCAGGCGGAGGAGTTTTCGTGATATGCATGTGATTTACTTAAACCATGTGATCGGCGTAGGAGTTTTCTTTATCTGTAGTGTATGATATTTTCTATCTTAGCCATTCTAAGGGCAGGAAAAAGTGGTTATGCTCTATAAGAGCATGCCTGATGATGAATGGTAACAAAATTGCACGTGTAGTGGATCCTAAAGATTTTTCGCCGGGCTTTGATACTAGGCAAAACCATAAAGCAATAGATTTTAATGATAAGGTATTTCTAAGTAGATAGCACAGATACAGTTAAAAAAAAACCTCGTTTCTTTTTGAAAGGCAAAACATCTCACATTCTAATCAGTAAATAAATAAACGATCACACATGGTATTATCATCAGGCCTAGCTACCCGGTTCTTTTTTAACATCCTTCATTGTGTTTTTTGTTTTGTTTTGTTTTTTTTTTATTGTTTTGGGATAACCACTCCTTCATTCTTTTGCATTTTCTTTTCTTTCTAATAAAAAAATTGAAGCGAGTTGATCGTTGAAAACTCGTCTTTAGGGCAGTCAATGCATGCTTCCTGCGTGAAGAGCGCTTGCAAAGAATCTTGTGACTTGCGAGGCAGTGGAATTTGAGCTATGATTATGAGTTAAATTTTTACTAATTGAATCAATTTCGTTTGGCTCATGTTTTTTTAACTTTTACCGGCTCATATGGGAAGCTATTGAATGGGCCATGGATATGAACGTGTCCATTCAGCTATTACTAAATGATACATTCAAAAGATTTTGCTTGAGAAATAATAAAAAAATTTTGTTTTAAATTATAGAGTATTTTTTAAAAAATTTCATCTTAAAATATAAAACATTTTGAGTAGATTAAGGTTTCATTAAATATATCAATTTTAATAATATTTTTTTATAATTAATTTTCATCTTTTCTCTTTTTAATATATTAAATGATGGATGTTTTTAAAAATTTATATTTTTATTTTGGAAAGATAAAGTTATTAAGTGTATTTAATGAAATTTATTGATATGTAAAATTTTGTTTAAAAGTGTCTTATAATTTAATACAAAGGGAGTACTACTTTTATCTCAAATTATAATATACTTTTAAAAAAAATTAATATTTAAAAATTTAAGACACTTTGACAAAAAAAAAGATTTCATTAAGGATACTTTTCAATGTTATCATTCTCATATATTTTTTCTATTTAATATTCTTTTATAAATTGAGTATTAAATGAAAAAAATTTTTAAAATTTATATTTTTATCTTGAAAAAATAAGGTCGTAAAGTGTATTTAATAAATTTTATTAATATGTGTGATTTTTTTAAAAGCGTTTTATAATTTAAGATGAATGAAATACAAAAAATGGATCAAGTTAGTAAACTAACATTCATACAAGGTAAAAAGTAATTAGTTTCCCCTCAGAAAATATGATCAGAGGAACAGAATAAATGGTGAATCTTGCTCTACGGACTCCAAGTAGATTGAGGAGCTTCACTGCATCCCATTCATCCAAAGGCATTTGGACCAATGTCTTTCTTTTATTATTCTTCACCAATGAAAAGCAATATTATTTGGCCAAAAATAAGAGATTAAAAGATAACATTGAATGTCTGAAACATACCTTGCATTGTAAATAAAGTTGTTTTTATTTTCCATGCCAATGAGAAGTATTTCATTTCATTTATTTTCTATGCGATTCTCTCCTACTGTTTATTAGTAAAGTTGCTTATAATTAATTTTGTAACATACATTACATTGAAAGTATAAAAGCCGGACAACGAAGGAAAATGTGAAACAAACATGATTGAGGGCTTGAACTTGCAGCGTAACTTTTTATACACAGTATTTGACATACGGTCTGCTACATTGAAAAGTAACTCTTTCAAATATATATTGTACATTTATACAAAACCAAATCCAGAACTTTTTAAGCCACCGTAGCGTGATATAATTTAGTACGTAGATGAAAGTGACTCACATTCAATCCTCATAAGGATAAGCCGCAACTATATGGCCATCAATTAATGGAAGCACTTTCAAAGGAGAGTCATTGTCGTCACCCAAGTGGGAAATACTAAACATGAAAAAAGATTCTGCATGACAATTATCTTCCTCCTCACAAATCAATTGCAATTTGCTAAGTTGGATTTGTCAACATTGCTTTCCTATTTATAAGCCAATATCTTCATTAATCTTGAATGAAGAAAATGGATACCAATACAAGCAAACAAAAAATGCATACAATTTTTTCCCACTTTCTATTGAATATAACTTTTACAAGCTCCACTCATTTTTGTGTTCTTCGCTCATAGAATCATTTCGTGATATAAATTTAGACTTTATGGGACGAGTTGACTGCGAAGGTTCTAGTATCAAATCATACAAGAAAATTCATATATTAAATTGACAAGCCTATCATATATATATATATATATTGAATTAGAAGGAATCAATATTCTTCACTCTCAATGCTTGAGATATCTACAGCAGTTTGCTATTAATGAATTAATACATTTTTAAAAATTGATATCACGTAGAAAATCTAATGATAAAAGGTTGCCACAAACGCACAAACAAAATAATTCTAGCTGGGATGGATAAAAATTAGGTACTTCAAATCCTAATGAATAAATATCACATATTCCTTTCATTGAAAATTATAAGTTATTTTTAACCAAATTACACACCTAATAAATTAATTAGATATTTTTAAATTGACATTATCTTTACATATTTATCCATATTTAATATGATATTTTACTTTAAAATAAATATAAAATGATTTGTTTATTAGTGGTACTTTTAGAAAAAGCATATTAATTATATATTAAAATATTAAAAATGTCTTATATTTTGTAACATTCAAACTAGCAAAAAATATTTTATATTTTTTAGTGGAGGGAGTATAATCTTGTAACAAAAAATATCATGTATAACTCTGAAAAAAAAAATTTGTCCTATAGTTTTTATTCTTATTTTTAATATAGTCCTGAAGTTTATATTTAAGTCCTTATAATTTAACTCATTTTTAATGTAATCTTTTTTAATTACAAATTGATTATATCTTGTCATGTATATAAATTAATATAAACATATTATCCATATTATTTTATTATTATGATTTTGTATATTCTATCAATTGGTATCTTGAAAAATCTAGAGATATTATCATTTCTCGCTCAAATTAACCCAAACTTCTAGTGTGTAGGACTGTTATTGTCAACAATAACTCTAGATACCCCTGGGAGTTTTACTATCATATTTTGTAATGATTGTGGTAGCACTTGTTCTTAATAATAAATGTAACATCTACAAGATAATTTGCTTGGCCTTTTGCCCGTCAGAACCATCTGTGAGTAGCCCTTTTCATGACATTGGCCTTTCAATGAAAACACTAATGTTACGACCATAAATCCTGTAGATAGAACTCACCCCTTAAAAGATGCCTTGTAGGGAGAGGATACCTAGCTGACTTATAAAACACACTCTACCAATGTAACCTCTCGATATAGGACTCATAACATAACTCACTCCTCAAGAGCCAATGTTTACAACAGCTCTCGATCCACAACACCTTACTCGGCCTTTGGCCTGTCAGCCCCTCCATGGGAGGCCCTTTCCATGAAAGGTGGCTCTCAATGAAAGCATCAATATAACAAGCACAAATCCAAAAAGAAAGCACATTCCAAAAGATTAGCTTATTAAGAGATAGAGTCTTTTAAACTTATAAACCTCACACCACGTGTGAGGCTTCTCAATGTAAAACTTGTGACATAATTCTCTTAAATTGGTATCTTTTTTTAATTCCAGTCCCTAGTTAGAACTTTATATTAATATGATATATGTGTGCCTTAGGTTCTGTTTTGCACAACGTATAAGATATGATAGTTTAAGTTAATAAAACACATTATGAGCCTATCACTTGCTTGATGCAAGCAATGTTTTTTTTTTTAGGGTCAAAAGTGTAGGTGATTTATCGGATGAGTTTATATCTCATAAGAAAAATTAATCTCCAAGTTGTTAGAATTTTGCTCAATTTTAGTCCCTATAGTATATTTTGTTTTAATCAAACCTTTATAGTTTGATCTATTGTATTAGGAAAAACGTTACTTTTAGTTCCTACATTTTGTTTGGATTTCGATATAAGTTCCTACTCTTTGTTTTTGATGTTCTAGGTTTTTATATTTTCCTCTGTCTGCAACATTAATCCCTACATTTTTTAAAGGATGTGGACGTGGCACAAACAGTATTAATAATGCTAACATGTCAATTAACATTGTTAATTTTATATTTACATGTCAAAATGATATTAAAATGTAATTATTTAATAAGCAAAAATAAAAAAAAGAGGCTACATTAGATGAAATAAAAAGGTTAAGCCCGGACTTTTTAAATGATCAGTAAAACACATAAATTTCATGTAGGTTTTTTTAAAAAAACTACTTGTTAAATATTTTATATCAATATTAGTTTGACACGTGAGCACAAAATTAATGATATTAATTGATATATCAGTATTATTAACGCTTTTGTGTCACATCAACATCCCTCTAAAAATATAAAAACCATCATTGTATATAGAGAAAACTGTAGGAATTTGAAATACTAAAAAAAAGTACAGGACCCTAAATCAAAACTTGAGCAAAATGTGAGACTAAAAGTAGTACTTTTCCATTATATTATATGGTAATCCCTGAAAGTTAAAATTAATAGTAAATTATTAATTTCAAAAATAAAAATACTCTTGGAGTTTACAGAAAAATTAAATTTATACTTTTAGCCAAAGTCCAAAAAATTTTGATTTAATACATTGTTTAAATTTTTATTAATTTTATATCTATAAAAATATTTAGAAAACAACCTAATTATATAAATTTTGAGTTATAAAAATTATGTAATTAATTCTAAAGCTATATATTCAATTAATAGAAATATAAAAGTTCTTAATTTTTTAAAAGGAAAAATTTAAGAATTTTAAACCTTTAAAGATTAAAAAAAAATAAATGAGTAAATTACCTCTTGAACTTTTGATCTAGTTGCATTGTAGACCATAAATTCATTTATTGTATAAATTATTTTCTTAGTTTTTGAAAATAGTGCAATTTGGCCCTTCATGTTAACAAAATTTAATTTTGACCATTAGTTGATCAAAAATAACAAAAAAATTACAACAAAAGTTATAGACAATGAAAAATAAAATTATGGAAAAGGATAGAAACAAATTTTTGGTCATTTTCCTATAATTTTTGAAG